GCATTCGACAGTTTCGGTTTAGTTCGTCTGTAGCTTCTTTTCCATCGAGATATGAGTTCCAAACGAGAATTATCAATGGAAAAACGTTCCAGTATTCTGATCTTCGCAGAAAAAAAATCGATTTTAGTTACTGTTGCAGATACTTGAATAACTTCCATACAACGCGAATGCATATTTCGCTTGTGTTCGGATACTTATGGACGGTAGTGTACATTAAAGTATAAAAATGTGCAAAGTGCATAAAATATACACTGTATGCAAAATACAGAAACTGAAAAAAAAAAAAATAGATTATTAGCACCATCTAATTAATATTTATAAATAGAACGTACTATACATATAGTATGTAGTAAGTTTAACGCAGAAAACTGTGACGCACCATGTGCGTCAAAGAAACAAAGTAGTCATTTCATACATTTATCATAATCTTTCAATAAAACATTTGAAAGTTAATATACCATCATTTTCATCTAACACATACAGAATAAAGTACATATAAAGTATGGAATACGACTTTGATAAAAAATAAGGAGTTTACTTTGCAAACAAACAACCTATAAAATCTTCAGTACTTCCGGTTACTTTAATTCCTCCGTGACATTTAATACGAATTAAATTACATTTCCTATTAACACCTTCGGTGTAAAATTAGGTAGATACATTTCGCTATAATATTCGAAGCACTTTGTAAAAATTATTTCTCACAGAGATCCATTGTCGTCAAGCGGGGCAAATAAATTGCGGAAATCCGTTGAAGAATTTTATTTCATGAACGCATACTTGAAACGATTGAAGATGTCGGAGGGGGAGGGCGTGAATGACCGCGGCGAAGAAACGAACGAGGTTAGGCTAAAAAGAATAAGTAACAGGAGAAAGTATGCATCAGACAAGTAGCTTGCGTCTCTATATGGACGTCGTCGAATCGAAGGAATTTTTCGATCGTATTGATCTTTTCACTTGTCACGTACAGTCGATGGCAAATTAGGCTTCTTAGGAAATAGGTGGTAAACAAAAAGATTTGTTACTTATTTGTTTTTAACACGTTCACCATGCTGAAGATTATTAATTATTGAATTGTGGGAATTATTCAGTTGTTAGAATTGAAAATTACAGTAGGCAGTATTTTTATTTTTTACAGATTTTACTAAATTATATTTAACAGTTGTAGTTCATTTACTGAATTATATTTAATTTACTAAATTGTATTTACAAGTTATATTTAATTTACTAAATTATATTTAATAGTTATATTTAATTTACCAAATTACATTTAATAATCATATTTAATTTATTAAATTATATTTAACAGTTATAGTTAATTTACTGAATTATATTTAACAATTATAGTTAATTTACTAAATTATATTTAACAGTTATACTTAGTTTACTGCATTATATTTTACAATTATATTTAATTTACCAAATTACATTTAATAGTCATATTTAATTTATTAAATTATATTTAACATAAGATATTTCTTTTCTATAGTATCAAGTAATT